TTAAATCAGTATCAGGAAGAAGCAGTGAAAGAGGCGCTTGGGAAGCCTTTCACCCTTGTTCAGGGTCCTCCAGGTAAGCATTGAGTTAACCCGTATCTTACAAGCCCCTCTTTTCCCTGTTTATTTTAAAGCTTTATTTTGCTGCTTTGTTATAATGATACATTCTAAAAAATTACGCTTTTGACAAATGCCCTGGGCCGTATGTCTGATTCCTTGCTTTGATGTTTGATTAAGCAAGTTGGTTTGGATTTACAATCTTTCACGAGTAGATTTTTACATAGCTCGTACACCTACGTTATTTCTCGTATTTAGAATCAGCTGCCAATGCAGTAACTGCCTTTGATGTAACCGTACTTATATACATATATTCATTATTAACTATCTTTAGACTCGACAAAATTAATTGTATAGATATGTGTAGTTCTTTTATACGCATTTAGTTTTTACCATGTCAAACACATTTATCATGAGCCTCCGGCTCGGGAGACTGGGTAACCATCGCCTGTGTATTTGACGTTAAATAAATTATCTTATCTCATCTTATTTCATTTCGGGGGAATTGGACTGACTGTCTTGAAGCGGCTTTTACCTTGTTCTTATTGTTCTTGTTCTTGTTGTTACTGTTGTTTGTTTGTTTGTTTTTTCCCCTATTTGTCGGTCAGTGAGTCTCAATATCGGTCTGTCGGTTTTTGATTGTTTGTTTTTTTGTTAGTTTGCTTGTTTGAACTGATCAGTTACACATTTCTGTCTCCAACAGCGTTCAAAAGATAATCAGGACTAAGATAGTTACTTTAATTAAGGACCTTTCGCATAGTTGCATTGACATGTTTTCGTTCATTGGAAGGTACTGGTAAGACGGTGACAGGTGTCCACATAGCCTTCTGGTTTGTGAAACGAAACATGCAGCAGCGACATGACGATATCGACATCGTTCTGCCAGACAGTGACGACCAGCCTAAAGCACCTCCACAAGTGATTTACTGCGGACCCTCCAACAAGTCAGTGGACGTGGTAGCTAGTAAGTGTTTAAAAATCTCGATATACGATGACAATTACATGAAAATATGGATCGTTTCCCATGTATTCATAAATAGTAAATAAAAAAATGATAAGGGGTCTGATACGCAATGATTCACGATGACTGAGGTCATTATGCAGTAGAGCCCCGTTAATACGGTCAGTAACGGGCCAATAATATTTGGCCGTATTAGGTAGGGTAGGGTCAAATCTCATGACTGGTCCAATTTGAGTAATGTCTTAACAGAAGCTAACAGATGTATCACAATTTCAATTCTAAACAACAGTTTTTTAATAAACATCTGGAATGCAGATATAATTTTTAAAAATTGAAACCTCAGTTACTACATACAATATTACCAATGGAGCGATGGATATAACTGGTTTGAGGGCGTTATTAACGGGGTATAATTATAAACGATTATGCATGAACAGGTTGGGATTTCAAAATGTGGCCGTTGGCCGTATTAACGGGGTTTAACTGGAGTTTTCTTATAAGAAAATGAATGGGCGTCTCGCCGGGACAAATAAAAAGTGGCCGTAATAACGAGGTGACCGTATTAATAGCCAAAAACCGAGCCTTCACCCTAACAGCAAGGCAAGTTTTCATGATCAGAAAAATTAGACGGAGTTGTCTTGAAAACTGTTCACTAGAGCTGATCATTAACAGTGTAAATTTCCCGTCATGTTTGTGTTTAGGGATTTAAGAGCCAGTGCCCGTAACTATGGACCAAACAACGGCACAAGTCGAAAAATCTATTTTGCACATTTTTTGCCCACAGATTGGCCCTAGCTAGTAAACAAACGGACCATAGTTAGTTTCTGCTAATGCAGCTTTTTTGTTGAGAAATTTGCGAAAAACGATTTCGCCCCGATTGAGCTCAAAATCTACTTCCTGTTATGCTAAATTTTCT